ATAACGTCTCTTTCGTTAAATTTAATTAAATAATTTAAATTGAACGATGTTAAAGTCATAAACGGTGCACTTTGGTGCACTAACTGCGACTGCGGAACAATGTTTGTAAATCGTCAAAATTGATTACCAAAATAATGGAGTGGTTGGACAGCAGAGTCGGTAATTCCAGCAACCATAGATTGATTTCGTACCACGTTTACTCTAGTGCAACAAACGCGTCCCAACTTCGGAGAATGGGCCCAAAATGAGATGACCACCGATCCCGATTTTCACAAGAAAATTTTGTGCAGTGATGAAGCATACTTTTGGTTGAATGTATGCGTTGATATACAAAATTGTTGCATTTGGAGTGATGAAAATCTTCAAGCTATTGTTGAGATGTCGTTGCATCCTCAAATAGTCACTTTAGGGTGTGCTGTATGGCAGAGGCAATCATTGGTCCACATTACTCCAAAAATGAAGCCGGCCATAATATTACAGTCAATTAGGAACGCTATGGAGTCATTATGATTGACTTTTACGTGTTGTGGACGACTTTTATTTCCAACAAGTTTGCATTACTTGCCATACAGCCAACGAAACAATCAATTTATTGAAGGACACTTTTGGTGAGCGCATTATTTCGATCGTGCGGTTTAACCCCGCTGGACAATTTTTTGTGAGGTGATGGGAAGTTGCTTGTCCAGTTTTCGGACCATCTCAATATCGACCAAGACCAGTAGTTTTGAAAATACATTTGCACATTCTCTAAAATATAATTTCTAAATCTTAATATGTATTGGTATCGTGATTCCAGCAGGTTCAAATTTGACGTTTTCTAAAACCTTAGTCGTATAAAGGCCGTAATCACGTGTATCTTACTTTTACTTTCAAATATGAAATGCATGTAAAATATATATCATAGAATCTTTGGTATAACTAAGGGCACAATATTTTGACGTACCTTAATTCTATATATTATATAATATTATATTAATTCACCTCTATTGGAAACCCTTTAAAAACACATGTACTATATGTATGAATTTGCAAAGAGAAGAGAAAGTGCTGCATATATACCATATTTATATCTAAAATCTCATAATTCATCATTTTAATATAATGAAAATAGTACATAGTATTCGACATGGGAAATATAATTTCCGTTTCGGCGACCAATTCTTACTTGCGTGGAAATTGCAATTACCTACATTTGCATATAAGTAATTTTATATATGCACGCGGAAAATTCATATGGTCTTACATACGAGTATATAATATTTTCTTTTGGAATATAAATAGTTTATCGAAATGTCGTATAAATTATAATTCGATTTCGCCTAAAAAATTGTTAGAAATATTAAATGACCCGAGCAGTTTTCGATTTTAACAGCATTGAATGTGTATACATCTCTCTGTTTTCAACGACTCTTAAATTATATTAATATTTGGTGAGGACAGCGAAATGGTAACGGCTTTCAACTGTATACTAAGCTCAAAAGTCTTATTGTTTATACAATTTTTTAAAGGCTTAACACTAGACTTTACAGAGAACGACTATGAAGCGCTGCAATCTTTACAGAAACTTAGACTTTAAGTGCTCGAGCCAAGTTTTCAGAGTAACCATTGAATAGTTCTTTCAGTATAAGAACTCAGAATTTTTTGTCCATGTTTTACATAATTGAAGACCATGTTATATATGCCTCTGAATACTTCTAAATTTAAGACGTATACATGGGTTATACTTGATGTTATGCTAATGTTTCAAAACTTCAATTGTAAAACGATATCGGGAGATAAGCAAACAATTTTCTTGAAATGTTTTGAACCTGAAACCTTGTTATGTTGTTAATGACTTATGAAGAACGTGCAACCAAAGACAGCCGACATTTACCACAAACTGGATGACCCTTAGAGAAATCGGTCATGTGCCAATAATTAATGTCTAACAATAGCTATTTCATAGTGTCCTTTACAGACCTTCTCATTGTGAATACCCACGGTTTAGTTCTTTCTCTAGCACATAGCTTCATTATGCCAAAATCTGCAAAGAGCCTCGTCCTAGCTTGCGAATTAAAACTTTTCTGGAAACCGTTGAATTTTCGACCTCAAAGAGGCTACAAATTAGCAACGATAAGCTGAAGGTCCAAGTTCAGATTTTATTGATCTAACCGAATCGGTCAAAACTAATAAATCACCAGATGTCGCTTTGGTCAGAATTAAGAGCAATATTATGTTCATTCATGTTTATTTATCTTATGTTGTGTTATGTTATTCTATGGTATGCTATGCTAGGTTATGTTATGCTATGTTATGTTATGTTATTTTATGTAATGTTATGTTATGTTATGGTATGTTATGCTATGCTATGTTATATTTAAGCTCTGTTATCAATTATTTCTTTCAGTGTAACTGAACATACAAACATATAAATCTTTTGTTTTTGTGTAAATGCATTCATTGCTGCCATTATGTCATACTATGTGAATATGGATTTCAACAAACATGCATGCTAATTGTAAAAATACACTACATATCATCACATATATGTGTATAAGCGCGTTTAAGGGTGTATATGTGCTGATGCCTTTAAATCAGGACACCTGTGAACACATAACGGACACGCAAAGCTTAGAGAATAACAGGGGCGTAAATGTTTTATCATGTTTATGTTGTTTATGGTGTAGATACCGTATTCACAGTTGAGCTTTTGTCTATTTTTAGATTTGTTGTTAAAATGTAATTTTTACAAGTTTTAAACTTTTCTTGTATTTGTAATATAATATTTGTTGCATTATTCAAATTAGTTTTTATATCTACATATTTGACATACTGCATTGGACTTGGGTGAATATCAATTTCATAGGCGCTAGCTCGTTTGATTGCTTTAGAAATTTTAAGGGTCTCAAAGGAGGGATCATATGGAAAGATATTTACCGTTTCGTTTCTTTGTACCAAAACCAAAAAAATATGCAGGCCACCTCCAAGCACTCATTGCTAAATATTTCTGCTATCTTTGTAGAGATATTGAGATCGCTGTTTGAAATTAGTTTCGATGTCAAAGGTTTGTTATTCCTATATAGACGTAAACTGAAGATATATTGGCTACTTTGGTAGTGTTATTTGTTCCTTTCAGCCGTAAAAGCATCTATAAGGCGATCTTTACCTTAACTAGAAAGTTCATCATTGTCATCATTTGGCGGTTCAGCTCTTTGTGAGCTTTGGTCTGCTACGTTGTTTGGGGTTGTTATCCGAAGCTTTTATACTGCTATCATAACAACTTATTTCCGTCGATTGGGTTGTCAGCCCTACCCTACCAATTTCATCAGACTGGCAAGGAGTTGGTATTTCGTTGTCCTCTTGCGCTCTGAGGGTGGATCTATGGACTATCCGTGAGCGTTGCAAGCGCTGCTCAAAACCCAAAATTTGTGCGGCTGCGAGATCCTTCTGGCCCAAAGTGGAACGCATGGGGTCCTCTGAGCTACTTGCCATTAGCAAGGTTCATCTTACCGCCAAGTTGTTCGGACTGGGCATTATCCAATAGACTCACATGCGATATCTTGTGGGAAGCAAAATGACAAAGTTGGTTAGTAGAAGGCCTAGGCCTCATCTAAACACTTTCTTCTTAATTGTCCAACTTTTGTCAAACTGAGGTTGAAACATCTCGACAGACACACTTTCGGCGAATCTAAAGAAGTTGCTGAGATTGATATTAGTTGCCTTAAGAAATTTGTAGTATGTTCAAAGCGCTTCCTCGATTTATAATGATCTGGTGATGAATATCTAGCAGTTTTGGGAATCACAAAAGACCAGCGTTCACAGCTCTCCAAGTGAGATTCTGCTTCAGCCTTGGCGCGAGGATCACCAATACGAGCTTACCAAACCTGAAGCTGAAAGTATTTAAAATTGTTTCGGTTGAAAAGCTTATGTGTCAATCATTCTGAAAACACCTTAGCTCTGTTTTATTAATTAAGGATTCTACTACTGGAGTGACAACTGTCTAAAATAAAAATCGAAGGTCAGAAGATCATTTCCACTACAGTCTGGTATATAGTAAGGGACCGGTAAATACACTACATTTAGTAAAAGCATTCATCTCAACCCGACACCATTCCCTACAACTATTCGAGACACATCTTATACCATACACCTACAACAACATCGAAAATCAAAATAACGCTGATAAGAGATTGCAAAATTTGAGTGAGTAAAATCGAGACTAACTCATGGCAAAAACGCATGTTGAGTGGATATTTTAACAGCTAACAGTGTAACTAACACGGAATACGGATATTTTTAGTAACTGTAAATACGACTTCTGAATTTATTTACGAACCACACGAATATTAATAACTGGTTTGTTTAGTGTTAGGGAACTATTTTTGGAACATGCGCAACAATTTTTGCACACCTTTAAACGCGAGGCGATATGGAATAAATGAAGAGAGGAATAGAAAGAGAGAAAGAGTGAGCGCGCTCAAAAAGCGCAGGGTTGGAGAAATGGGGGAGGAAATATCTGCCAAATGGAGCGAGTGAACTCTGTGGACGCGAAACTTTCGTCTGCTCAGCTGAATACATTCGGGCGACTTTCGGGGAGACCAATGCAAACGAGTGTATAGTGGTGATATTTGAGATGCTGTGACGCGCATGTTTGTGTGCGTGCGCCGCGGTGCTGTTGTAACGCGTATATCCTACAGGATATTTAGCTGCGCTGCATTACAAGCATACCATTAGTCATGGAATGAATTTGCTGAATGCAAAAGTAAATTTTGGTGCTCGCCGTTTATTTGGTTCATTTCTCTTTGTTTTTGTTTTGCCATATTTTTTTCGGTTTCTATGAATTTTCATTCATTTTCATAAGTTCTGCTGCTTGTTGTTAGACTTGTGGGTGTTTTTGCGAGTGGTTATGTTTGTGTGTGTATGGGTGTTAGTATGTGCGTGCATTGTGTCACTCTTGAAGCGCTGGGAAAACGCTGGCCAACGCCAACGCCAACGCCAAAGTCAGCATGTCAGCCATTGAAAAGTTTTAGTTCAGTTCCAGTTCGAGTTGTGTTCAGTACGACGGCAGCGTGCAACGTGCACAGTTTGGCAACGCAGAGAGGAAAAACTCAGTTCAGCAAATAGCAAATCAAGTGGTTAAAAATTAAAACAGTTTCATTTGTAAGAATACACAGTTATTATTATGGAAAATTTGGTTTACAAAAGAAATTTTTTAACTTGAAAAAAGTAATTTTCAAAAGAATTTTTCAAAAATACAAAGACATTGTTTACTGAAATGTTTAATTAGGACTTTTCACCTCAACAGACAGCGACGTGGCATTGTTGGCTGACTTTTTGTGTATTTTTGTGCGGTTGTGTGTTTGTGTCTGTATATTCAGTGTGTGTTCAAAGCAAATAGTGGAGTTGCTGTTGCGTTAAGACAAATAATTTTCTGGAAAAAAACGAAAATTGATAAATACAAATTTCAAATGTCTAAACACTAACACACACAAAAAAAGTGACAGAGGATAATATTGTTGATAGTTTGTTTAACCACGAATTGTGTTACTAAGAATTTGAAGTAAAACTATTTGAAAGCTAACAAAAATTTTAAAATTTAAATTTAATTCCAAATGAAATCAATACAAATTAGTTCAAAAATAAATAATAAACGTTTATAATTTTGTTGTTTGTTGGTGTAAATTGTGCTATTGAGTAGCATACAGTTAGAACTCAAAATGAAGTGATATTTCTTACAAACTTGAGAAATGTGGAATATTGCAAACATAGTTTAGTTTTAGAAATACTAATATATAAACAAGCGTAAAAATATGAAAAAAACTTTAGAAAAATATAGGAAATATATTTATTATAAACAAATTAATCTTAAAACTTTCCTCCAAAACAAGTATAAAATTTTATGATAAAACAAGAAAAACGTTTATATTGGCTGTAACATAGCTAAAATACCCTTCACAGCTGCATTTCTTTTAGCATAAAAGGGTATAAAGCGACCCTTATCTTGATTTGGATTGGTCAGTTTGTATGACAGCTATGTGCTATAGTAACCCGATCTAAATAATTTGTTTGGAGATTATAGCGCTGTCTTGGACAATAATCTGTACAAAAGTTCGTTTATGACAGATATATGCTATAGTAACCCGATCTGAACAATTTGTACACCAATTCTAGCCTTGACTTGAACAATAATCTTTGCCAAATTTCGTAAAGATATCTTGCCAAAAAAATACTTTTCCATACAAAAACTCAATTTTGATTGTTTAGTTTGTATGGCAGCTATATGCTGTAGTGGTCCGAACTGAATAATTTTTACATGGGTTGTAGCTTTGCCTAGGACAATAATCTATGACGAATTTCGTGAAGATATCTTGTCAAATAAACAAGTTTTTCGCACATAGACTTGATTTTAATTGTTCAATTTATATGACAGCTGTATGCTATAGTGGCTCGACTTCAGCGGTTCCAACAGATGAGCAGCTTCTTTTAGAAAAATGCACGTGTGCTAAATTTCATATCGATGTCACAAGAATTAAGGGACCAGTTTACATATTATTTATGTATACATTATATAGGGTCACCTACGCTTTCTTTTTACAAACTTCGTGGCAAAATTAATACACCCTACACATGGTATAATTAAGATATGTTAAACAAAAAAAAAAAAAAAAAAAATACGAAAATTAAATTTTTTTGTGAAATCAGCCAACCCATTAAAAACCAATTATATTCGCAAATTTTAAGAAAACAAGTCGTTTTATTGATTCTTGTACAATATAACGGAGTTGCATTTTTTTTGAAATGTAAAGCTAGAAGAAAAAGCACGTCTATCTCCGTTAAAAGTTGATATTTTTCAATAAAATATAATTTTAATTAATTATTTCATATTCCTATATACTAAAACAACACTTGAGAAAGTGTAGAACTGAATATCTCAAGCACTACCTATTGGTACCAATACTGTAAGCTTACAGATTCTTTCTTATTCTTACCGGCGAAGAAGGCTGGATGCTGACGAGGTAAAATTTCAACATTTCCTCGTTTTGGCTACACTGTTTTAGCGACAGTGAAATCATCTCAGTTTCACTTCTTCAGCTAGAGGAACTCTATGGAATCGACTTAAATCGCTTTAGCACATTTATAATGAGCTCAACACTTTACTTCGATATATGAAATTTTATTTCGTCATAAGAAAATTGAACTCTTCGAGAGGCATACAAGCCCAAAGATATAGTAAGTAATCTCTTTTTGTGTAGAAGGAGGAAAAACATAGCGTAATGTAGAGAAATAATGATGTAGTGAAATATTTGAGCATTCTAACAAATCCTCTATTTTTGAGGCAAATGCATTATATACTAATAATCTATAACCCGTATGAGAATTACACAATTGCATATTGCTAATTTAAAGAAATAATACGCTGTACAAAGCACGAGCATTGAGTAAATACATAAACAATATCCCCGATCACATATGAACATAAAAAAAGAATTGAAAGACATTAAAATTCATCTTTATGAACTACTTATAAAAAATGCAATCGATTTATCCAAATATAATTTACACTTACGTCCCTTAATGGTTTTAACTGCCCAAAAAACTACAATATATATTTTATAAAAGCGTTCCACAAGAGTGGGTTTTGCGTAAACGGTATTATATTCTACAAACATTTTTGGAAAATATTTTATGCCATTAAAACATTGTCAACACAATTTTGAAAAAAAAGTTTGTTTTACCCATATCTATTGAATTGTTTATCTTTTTTTTCCATTAATACCTTTACCTTTGTAGTATAAGCTATTAAGTTTGCCTTTCAATGTTAATAGATCTAAAGCTTAGATTAGATTAGATTATAAGCAAATTTATTATTGATATTTTTTAACAATATCCCGTCGAGCATTAAGTACAAGTAAGTGAATATTTAAGGAAATCTTAGCTACGGCATGGTATGATATAACATGTGGTGCTTTTTACATATGCCCGTTTTCATTAGTAAATAATACAGTGCAAAATAATTTGAGTAGTTATTTTCGTAGTAATTCAAATATTTTTCTCTTTCCAAATTTAACGAAAGTGCCAGGCTGTTTCTTGCAATGATATCAATAATGTTTTTGTTGAGTCTCATTAAAATTTCTTATTCGAAAAACGAATATATACAATGAAAAATCATGTGTTAGATATATTGTAGATACAGGTATGTTCACGGTATCGTTTCACGAAGCTCAATTGCGTATTAGTCTTTGATTTTATTTTCAAATTTAAAATTTTTTTAGAAAGACTAAAGAATAACTCTTGCACATGATATATTTAATAAGATAAAAACAACCTTGACAATCTGAAATCTACAGTCGGCCCATAACCATTCATTGCAGAGTGTAATTATTTACTCTTGTAATTTTTGTTTAAAAAATCCATTCACTATCAAAAATTTATTAAAATGAAAATTCACTAAAAAATTTACACACAAATTATGAAATATTCTAAAATTTATTACTTATGAGTATTTCAAGCTTTTAAACCAAAACTTAATTAGTGTGGACTGTTACAACTACGGCAACTCAAAAAAAAAAAACAACCCCACATTTACACAAACAAACAACGAAATACGAAAAGTGCTGTTAAAATAAATATTTAATTCAAAAACTTTAAAAACCTACAGTTTAATCACTTCCACTTAATTTGCAGAGTGACAGTGGTGTTTATATCTTTAATCGAACGCCTCAGTCGTCGCATGTTTGCATATAGAACTGTTTACATTCGTGAACTTAATTAGTGTTTCATAAAGAAATTTTGGAATAAGCAAATCAGCAGTTTACATGATATCCTTCAACAGATTTTCAAGAAAGTGGTAAGTAGTTTTCTGTTTTAAATAATATAAAACATGTACATATATATCTATGGAACATAAATACTGAGAACAGTTTGGAGTGTTAGTACAATTTATATTTCAAATTACAAAAGTAATGGCTTTAACTATATATATATATATATAGTAGTATTATTGATTTACATAGCAGACACAAATTTTTAGAAGTTTAAAATCGTCTATAAAATCTATTCTAAAAACATATAACATTTTAAAAAGATAGCGTTGTGTATAGGTCTTAGTACTCACCAAAATCAGAAAGACTAAAAACATCATACTAACCTGATACTACCTAGAAACGTTTACTAAACGTTAGCCCTCACGAAAAAAACCTGAAAAAAATGTATATCAATACATTAATTAATATAATAATTTGTCAGAATCCTTTAGTTTAGCTATACAGTGATCAGGAGAACGTATCGTAAGATTTATTTAATATTTAGTTCCAAAGCATAGCTCACTGCGCCTCAACAGGTTAGCACACAATTCCAAAATTATTAGCAATTATTAACTCATTTATTTTCGACTACTTAAAACAGCAATTAGTGTTTTAACTTTTTTTCCTTTAATGAGCATTGAAGAAAAATGTCTCTCTTGTTAACATCGGAAATCACTTTATTGTTACCGCCTTTATTATTTCGACTGTACTCCGACTTATTACACAAGAAATTTTAAATAACTTTTTAGCTTCTTCCAAAATTTTTTGTATACCTATTTCAATTACTGAAAGTTCTAACACTTCATAAGCTTCGTTTATTGCTTTGTCTTCAACCGATAGCCATTTGACTTTGGCCGTATCAAAGATAATCGCACACTTAAGCAATACAAAAAATTTGATGTCAATACTTGTACATGTTCAAACTCCGAAGGTAAATGCAATTCAAATTGGATGTGCTAACATGATGACGCAAAAATAAAGCACGCTTTTCAGCTAAAATGAACAGAAAATAGCAAAAACCACATAACGAGAGATTCTTATCGCTTGTTTTCTTTACCAGTGATTGTTCATTCAAAGATGAGAATATCAGAAAACAATAAAGTGGCTGCAAGTTAGTAAAAAAAAAATTAGAAGCAATTGTACTAAGCGAATAAAGCTGTACCAACCAGGTGACGCGCCGTGTAGGTATGCCATTAAAGTAGTAGTAGTAGTATGTCAGAAAATGTTTTTACTCTATTTTATTAAGATAGATAGATATATTCTGAGCTATTATGTTTAGAGTCGTTAGGAAAAGTATTTTATTTATTTTTGGCATCAAAGCACATTTATAGCTGCTGACCATCTCGCAAGCTAACCCATATTTTGGTATAAAGTGAGAAATAGCCACTGGGTCGTCATATTCGGTATATGGAGGTATGAAAAGATATAGACCGATTTTGACAAGTTTTAACTGAAAGTTTTCATTCAGTAGATGTACTATTTGTGCTAGGTTCATTATCTTCATCGATGAATTATGCTATTGTAAAGTTGTAAAGTGAAAGTATGTGATGGAATCTAAAATGGATCTATTACTTGGAAAATAGGCGAGGTTCTAGTCCGACTAAGTTATTTTGTCATTTTCAAACTGTAATATAAGGAAGCTACTAATATGTTACGTAACAAATTTAGTTCAAAATTTGTTCAAGATTAAGCAGTCGCTAAGATATTATACTCGTAGTTCAACAAAAAGCGGTGCTGCGCCTAAATATCCAGTGTTAAACCATACACATTATTATTAACGTTCTCACGTCTTTTTTTGGCACTTTTAGTAGATTCCTACATAGCCATTATATGAGGGGTGACCGTGGTTATTCCGATTGCACCTATTTACGCTTTGGATCATGAAATGTTAGTTTGTAATAATGTTTTCACAAAGTTTGGTTGATATGGAATAACAAGAAACACCGTGTGACGGCCCGTTTTTTTTAGAGATTTTTAAGGGATATTTAAATAGATAGAGTTTTCAGTTTATTATCATTTATTAACATATATTTTGGCAGTATAAATATAAATTTTAAGCTAAAAATATTGTGTAGAGCATGGTTACAGCGTTCTGAATACCACCGCCTCGAAAAAATTGGCTAGCAGCTCTTCCATGATTCTGGCTAATTGGCTTATCTGAAACAAAAAATATTTATGGCGTTTTAATATGTAAGTCTAGATGCAAGGAATGGACTTTTATCAAACGAATATACCAAATATTTAACTTTTGATAGGCATTTGGAAAAAAAAGTTGCGAATTTTGCGTTTTTATTTTTGGTCCAGAAAAAAATCTAAATTTTGAGAAGTTTTGATTGATAATTAATTGATTCATTCCATGCCTTTTAATGTGCTTAGTGTGCTCTACAATTTTTAAGATACGATGGAGTAAAGTTAAAAAAACAGAGTTTTGAGAAAAGCACGTTAAAAGTTTCAAGTCTGCCAACTCAGCGCTCTCAACAGCTCCGTCTTCTAACCGTTGTATCTTTAAAATGACTTCGAATTTTTGAAAATCACTTTTCTACCGTATCATGGACACATGGCATGACACCCTTTAACTAAAAAACCAACTACTGTATCATTCGTTTTACAATATTTGAAGGAAAACATTAAATATTTTTCGAATTACACACACGACGACGCTAAACAAAGCATAAAAAATCACTGCTGCAGTGATTCCGGCCTTCTCCGTTTCTCCGTGGATGTATTGCAAACGACCGTTCGGTGAAACAAATTATTATACCCTGCAGTAATATGTTGCGAGAGTATACAAATAACCAAAATATTTTATTATTATTTAATAAAAAAAAGAAACAAAATACTCTACAAGAATGTTTAGTAATATATATAAAATAGCTTAAATATGTAATTTTCTCGTCTAATCTCTTGAAAGTTGCTTTTTGCTGAGTTAAGCAATGAAATTAATCTGTATCCACACAATCAACAATAAATGTAAATATCTGGTATCGGTCCCATACAGACAGTTTATGCCTCCCCCCTGCTCTTACTGAACTCACTTAAGCCAGCGTCCGTTGCATTAATGCGATTAGCTCCCAATGACAAATGCATTTTCTGCATCTTTTTCGCTGCGAAAGCCTTTGTTTGCCGTATGGACGATGGCAAGCTGGACGATGGTTGGCTGTCCAAATAACTTTTGATTTATCAGTGGCTAAAAGAGTTGAAAGCTTAGCTGTTTACACAAACAAGAACAAATACAAACATGCGCACTTAAAATGAATAACTCATATCCTGGCGTACTCAAAATACCATACGCACACATACACACACATAAAAAGAAATTGCACTACAAAAGGACAATAATAACACACGTGTGCGCCAGCAGCATTTTGCGCTGGTACAACAACATTTGGCGTTTATTTATGACCAAGCATCAGCGTTTAATGGCAGCCGTTGGGTATGGGGCCAGACCAGCAAATACAAAAACAAAAATCAGAAACAAACAAAATACATTTAACAGTGTGTGTGTGTAAATTATATATTTACCTTTTTATGTAAGTAGCGTTGCTTAGAAATCGCATTGTCAGGGTTGTAAATTTTACAAGGTGATTAAATTTGGCTTTTTTTTACATTTTTTTTTAATATTTTTAAATTTTAGCTTTTTCCAAGAAAATTTATTTTGGAGTCAACAAAATATTTAATAAAATTTATAAAATTAAAAAAAATGCAGGGTGACTATTTTTTTTTTGAAATTTTATTAAATATATTTCAAAATTGTTTTCAGCAATTTTTTTTAAGTTTCGAAAAATTTTATATTATAAAAAAATTCATGTATGTATATCAAAAATACAGAGTTGTTGATTTTGCTTTTTTTTTTGATTTTTTTTTTTACAAATAATTCTAAATTTCGCATTTTTACAACATAAGTTATTTTTAGGTTTAGAAAAATAAAAATATTTTGCAATTTACGCAAACGGTATATTAAACCCAAATAAACATTTTCCATACACAGTTATGGTGCAAATATATGTTTTTTATTGCAAGCATTTGCAACAAAATGCTGGTCATTAATGCCGAGCTAAGATGGGTTTCCATAATGACGCTCATATTTCAAGCTGACACTCGAAAATGGTCAAGGGACCGCGCACATCAAATGAACCACGAACATACACACACTCACACACATTGAGGGGAAAACGCGTTGTGAGCTCGCAGCTATTTGTAGCAGGAAGCTGCACGAACAGCAACGCGTTAATAATTGCCATGACCAGTGGATTTATGTGCCGCATTGTGGTCGTGCGTTGCGTCAGGAGGAAGTAATCGTTCAATGTGAGTGATTTATATAGCAAAATAAGCGCTGCAGCATTCTCGTGAAAAGTTGACGCATTAGCCGAGTTTAGATTAGAAATTTTATTTTATTTTTAATGTGAAAACGGTTAAGTGTTTAGCAGAAACAATTTATATATGTTAAAATGATTTAGCATTTTTTAGCTGTAAGTAGTAAATTGGAAAACATTATTATTTTTAATTTTTGAAGTGGGGAATTTTTACTCAATAATCATTACGCTGCCACAAAAATATATTTTCTGTGAATTGGGCCTAACCAATTTTTTTTTTTTTCAAATTAGTCATAAGCTAAGAGGCAATTTATGCATTTTTCGAATTCAGTCTCGAAATCCGAACTAGTTGAATTTCAAATTTGCAAATTTAAGCGTATAAAAATTTTAACAATTAAGAATTAAGAAGAATTATGAGCGTCATCCTCGATTCCTTCTCGTACCAATGGTGTATAACATTTTTCGGGCCAGCTTATATCACAGATGCTATTTTACATTGGAAGTTTTAAGCTATAAAATATGTATTTTGTTTTTACTAACCTATTTTTTTTCATTTTCTAGAGTTATGTTAAATAAACGTACAACAAAACCCTATTTTATTTTACCAATACCGTTTTTTTAAACAAAACAAAAAAAATCTACGCCTAAATGTAGGCAACGTTCTGACTCGAATATTTCGGTACTCTCTTAAAGTTGTAGGAAATTGTTGCATACATTTAAGCTTGCATATG